CCTCAGCACCCTCACAGGGAAGAATTTACATACACACATATATACGTGTATATATCCCCCACTGAAGTGCTTGATAAGGTGAGGAAGATGTTCACCCCTGGCTTCTATAATTTGCGTTTCCTGAGCACATGGTTTGGCTCCTTCTCAAGTCTGTTCCTCAATAACGTTGTTATTTCAGTCACTTAAGGCTGCATCTGGTATTCCACGTTGTGTTTTGGCTCAGAGATGTGATGAAATCTATTAATAGACAATTTGAGGTTAGCTCAAAGTGTGTATAATGAACTAGGCTGGAGCTGTCTGTGATGTTGCTAGTGACCCGCAAGAATCACTGGTGCCATGTGTTGAATAGCTCATAGAAAACCGCTTGGAACCTGCCTGTGCTTGCCTATCTTGATCAGAGATTTCATGGTACTGCAGTATGCCAGCAATTACTTCATATAGAAGCCTCTTGGTTTTTGGATTACATCTTTTAGAGGTATAGTACATTACCCTTTACATGCAGCAAGTACTTACTGCTAACATGATACTGGAAAATAGCCCTAAAATCAAGTACATTTGTTGTAGTTGCAAATGACTTTCGTTTTCCAATGATTTTTCTCTTAACTCCACTAAGAAAATGTTTATATGTTTAAACAGAGCAGTACAGTCAAATACAGGCTGCATCAATAAAATGTGCCAGCAATCTGGTAACATCATTGATCCAGAAAATCAACCCTCTGTACCTCACAGTGCATATTTAATAGCAGAAGTACAGAATGTGTTATATGTGTAGCCAGGAAAACAGGCTTGTGTTTGTAATATCTGCTGGTAATCTTGGAAGCTTTCTTTGGAAACAAGGCACCAAAACAACCAAAAGGGGCTTTTGTAGAGAAGTTGCTGTTATTTCACAATCTGTCCAACACTGTATTAGTGAAAATTTTGTATTAAAACTATGAAAAATTAATAAAATAGGCTCTTAAAATTTTAATCAGCATCATATCTTTGAGCAGCTTTTAGCCCAGATATGTCATTCTTTGTAAGGTATCAGACTTTTCAGACCATGATAAGCGTAGAGGTTTGGGTTATCTCTGTCTTGAAGATACAACTGAGCCTCTTTGACTTCGTTAAGTTTCAAGATGTTATTCCAAAAAAGCACCCTTGGTCCATGAAATGTGTTTTGGATATATTTATTCTAACAAGTATAATCCAAATGCTTGCTCAGAAGAACATAACTGCTTTGGAGTATTTTAGTGTCTTCCATGGTTAGATGATGTAACTGGTTTCTTAACATGTTTGAGTTGTATGTGCAGACACCTGCAGGAACTGCAAGGGATTCACTGAGTTCAGCAAGTTCAAGGTCCTGCTCCTGAGTTGGGGCAATCCCCAGCACAAGCCCAGGCTGGGGGAGACTGGATGGAGCAGCCCTGAGGAGAAGGACTTGGGGGTGTTGGGTGACGAGCTTCAGTGTGTGCTTGAGCCCAGAACCTCCCATGTGCTGGGTGCACCCCCAGAGCGTGAGCAGCAGCTCAGGGAGGGGATCCT